TGGGGGTGCGTGCGTGCGCGCGCCGCCATTCCCCCCCCCTCGGCCCAGCGGAGAGGAGGACTTCAGGGGACTGGCCCAGGGCAAAGGTTACCTACCCCTGCTCTAGTGATTCAGTAGGACATTGCTTTGGGGCTGCTTTCCATCTCTGATGTTGCAGAAACTGCCATTTTACTATGTCCTTGTATATGATGGGGACTTGAGTATCCAAAGATTTTGGTATACCAGGGTTTGAATCCTGGCTCAGTCATTTAAGCCCACTGGGTGACCCTGGGCAAGTCACACTCTCTCAGCCTCAGAGAAAGGCAATGGTAAACCCCCTCTGAACAAGCCTGCCATGAAACCTCCATTATAGGGAGCCCTGGTGGCGCAGTGGTTAAATGGCAGTACTGTAGCCACAAAGTTGTGAGTTCGATCCCAGGTCCTCAAGGTTGACTCAGCCTTCCATCCTTTCGTAGGTGGGTAAAATGAGTCCTCAGCTTGTTGGGGGCAATTAAACCACTTAGAGAGTACTGAGTTCACTTCTAAGTGTAAAGGTTATTGCTATTCTTAGATGCCATAGGGCTTTCTTAGACTCACTGTAAGTCGGAAATGACTTGAAGCTACGCAACAACAACTCATTTAAAAAGAGTACTGGAAGTATCTCTTATCCCATTGGACCAAATATCTCAGCTTATTAGGCTAGGAAAGATAAAACAAGTTGAAAAGAGAGCAAAGTCAGGCCACAACTCCTGGAAATTGTAGTGGTCAACTTTATGGTGGTGCTTTGGGTGAAAAAATGGGGCTAAGTTGGTTTGGGGGGCTTTGGGAAAGCATGAACAAGTCCGTGGGCCTATCTTTTGTGCCAGAACTGTGTGTATTTCCAGATCACCACAATCTCCAGGTGTTGCGGCTTACTGCCCCCTCCTAAAAAAGAAAGAAAGAAAGAAAGAAAGAAAGACCAAGAAAAACTATGAATTTCTTCATTTGGGGTTAATTTTAGGCTGAGTTCAGGGCAATGCAACCCACTTCAATCCCACAAGTATGAAAACTGGCTCCATACTTGCTGTATTTGCACAAGTCAGTCTTCCCAGACACCCTACCTCAGATACTAGGCTGGAATATTTTTGGACAATGTAAGTTTCTAAGGATAACCTGAAGAGAAAGTTTCCCAAAGGTAAACTCATGGGTGGAACTTTGCAGCAATCCAGGGGATGTCACATAGGGATCAGGGCAAATGCAGACATTCTGCAATACCATAAAAGCAACGGAGAACTAGCACTTCAATATTCATTTTTCAAGGAAAGTTTCTAGTCCTTAAGTCTTGAATATCTAATGAAATCTCACTAACTAATCAGCTCACCTAGGCTCTCCTACAAGCCCTCTATGCATCTTTCTTTTCCTGCTGGTTACTATTCCCTCATTTTAGTTCCCGGAGTCTGTCAATGCAACTGCAAATGGAGAGTTAATGAATAACATGCTGGAAAAAACCCCAATGCCAAGCCTTGATGTAATGTCAAGGAAACCAGTGAGTTTCCCACCGATATCAGCCAAAATCTGGGGGAAAGAGAAGCACCAGAGATTGTGGAAATTTTTATTCCTGCTAAGGCTCTGATTCCCAAGTTGTCTCCTTTCTTTTCTTTTCTTTTCTTTCCTTCACCTTCTTGCAGTTTGTATGGGGACTAATAAGCAAGTTAGGAATGATCAAGGCTATGTATGCAGAGACCAAGAGAGCCAGAATGTTGTAGTGGTTTGAGGGTTGGACTAGGACACTGGGAGACTAGGGTTCGAATCTCCGCACAGCCATGGAAACCAGTTGGGCAAGTCATCCTCAAACCTCCTCCTCTACCCATCAGGTGCAGTGCAACAATCAGAAGCAAGACTCCTGTCTCAACTCCTCATTGCACTGCAGTTCAATGATGGGGGGGGGGCTGGAAATGTCATCCTGTAGCACCCCAATTGCCAACAGAACAGACTTGCATCACCCAGTGCAGCTACTGGCTGTCAAGGTAGTTTTTGAGGGGGGCATGTAAGAACCAGTGGTGTCACTAGGGGTGTGTGGGGTGTGTGGACCACACCAGGTGACACCCTAAGGTGGGGGGGGGGTGACACCACTGCTCCTCAAACTCCTACGTTTTGGCAGAAACAGATTGTGTTATCCAACTGCTTCCCTTTAAAATGCTTTAAGAGATGGTGGGAGTGGGGTGAAGCTCAGTGGGAGGAGAAAAGAGAAGCCCCCCCCAAAAAAAATTAAATTAACATTTCAAATTTCAAATGGGCACAAATATTTTTTTAAATGTTTCTTTAAAAACATCACATTTTAACCAAATCTCCACTATGTATATGTAAATACATTTAGGTTGTGCATATAATATTGTAATTTGAAGGTCTAATTTTAATTTTGCTAGTTGTTTCTGTCACAACTATTAACATGACACTCAGTGGTATATGGGGATTTGGACTGATGAGTAACATTAGTGCAAAAAAGCATTACCAAGGTGTCTGTATGGTGTGAAATGGGAGGGTGACACCATGAGTTATCACACCAGGTGACACCGACCCTAGTGGTTTGAACGCTGGACTATGGAGACTAGGGTTCAAATCCCTGCTCGACCATGGAAACCCACTGTGTGACCCTGGCCAAGTCACACTCTCTCAGCCTCAGAGGTTGACAATGGCAAATCCCCTCTGTAAAAACTTGTCAAGAAAACCCCATGACAGGTTCGCCTTAGGGTTGCCATAAATGGGAAATGATTTGAAGGCACACAACAACAACAACAAATTTATAATTGCAGCATGTCATAATTGGAAGCGTGAATGTGAGACAGTTATGAATGTGAATGCCTAGCTTACACATTCACAACCGCTCAACAAGATGCCAGCCATCATCCAGCATGGGCCCTTGCAATATCAATAGGTCCTGCCCACTGTGCCATCACAAGGGATCATCCCTAAATCTCAGGGCTTGGACCAGCATCAGTAAAGCGGGCAATGTCACACACTGCAACTTTTCTCTCATGAGCATCCTTTTCTGAGCTGGCTGCTGCAACTCTGCTGTAAATTACACACATGTTCTGAATTTGTACGTTGGTCGGTAGGCTGGCCATTCTCAAATGGGACTAGGATCTTACCTACGCAAGTGGCCTGGTCTGCTGCGAGCTCATATCCATAGGGACACTCACATCTGTAACTGCCCACAGTGTTGACACAGACTGACTCTGGGCTGCATCGGCTGAGGCCCTCGACACATTCGTTGACATCTGAGGAGAGGGGACAGCAAGATGAATGGAGGAAATAAATGCATCCGACAGCTGTTTCCATTAATATTCCAGGGAGTTCCAGGACATGCTACATGAGGATCTGCACAACCGTTGATTCCCTGGTTCACCTCCCTCCCACCCCGCAATATTATCTTGGCTTATTCCAGGCAAGCTGTTCAGCCCCCTCGCAGCTATAAAAACACAACCAGCACCAAATGGTTCCAGATGTTTTCAGATTTCCGAAGCCTAACCTCTTAAAAGTGTTGAGAGAGCACAAGTTCAGCTTTGAATAACACTCACTGCAGGGGCAGAAATTTCCATCCGCCTTCTCCTTTAAACTACCCAGTTCTTGACACAAAGATGGCTATATGGTAAGTTCAACAGCTGCAATCTTAGGCCCATCCGTTCCTCAAGTGAGAGAGTAACTATGCAATGGGATCTTGCAGCACCTTAGAGACTAACAGAAAGACAGAAGTTAGTAGCATGAGCTTTCGTAGACTTCGCTCTACTTTCTCAGATGCATGCTCCCAACTTCTATTTTCTAGTTAGTCTCAAAGGTGCTGCAAGATCCCTTTGCTTATTGACTTTCCAGACTAACACAGCTATGCCTTTGAATTCATATGTGTGTGTGTCTGTGTGTGTGCACACATGTGTGCAAGAACAGGAGAGAAGACAGAAACACACAGAGAGAAAGAAAGAGAGAGAGATGTTCATCAACATTTCTAACTAATGAGGGAGATAGTATAGAATTCAGACTGAGCATCCAAAGCTAAAAACGTGAGCAACTGGCACAGTTACTCTGAGAGAAAAGGAAAGTCAGGGCTTCTTAAAAAGCAATTTTTCTAAACTCTGGTCCTTAGCTAACAAGGGCTGGAAAAAAACAGGAATATTGCAATAAGGCAAGGAAGGAACAGTGGAACAATCCTTCTTTGACACTACAGACGGAAACAAACTAGACAGGATCCCAACTCACCTGTGCACTCATTCCCATCACCCCAGTATCCAGCAGTGCACTCGCAGGTATAATCCACACCAGAGCCTGGCTGACACCGTGCCGTCGTGTCGCACGTGTGGGTGCCATCGTAGCACGGGTTCAGAGCAACCACCCCAGAATCATCTAAGCCAGCAAAAAAAAGAAGAGAGGGGGTTACAAAAACAGATAATAATAATAATAATAATAATAATAATAATAATAATAATAATAATAAATTTTATTTATAGCCCGCCCCTCTGCGGAGCAATCGGGGCGGGTTACATCAATTAAAATACAGAAAATACAGAAGTTAAAAACAATCACATACCCATCCAACCCTCCCACCCCTTAAAACAATATTAAACTAATTATTAATTAAAACAACATGCTCCGAGAACAACGAAATAAATAACAATACAACAATACAAAATGACAAGTACAAATTGAGCAGCAGGGGAAGGGCAATATAGTTGTCTCCAAGATGCCATAAAGTCTTGGAGGTTCAGGAGATGTGCGTCTTGGCTCCTTACCACATTCAGAGCTTGGAAAAGGTCTGAGAGAACTGTAGTTGCCCCCCTCCATATCCAGTGGTGCTGCAATATTCAAAGAACCACAGCTTGAAAATATTTGTAGGGTGGGAATTCCAAAAAACACACCTTGCACATCATTCCTGACTTATGGCAACCCTAAGGCCATGGGATTTTCTCGGCAAAATTTGTTCAGAGGTGGTTTGCCATTGCCTTCCCCTGAGGCTGAGAGCATGTGACTTGTCCAAGGTCACCTAATGGGTTTCATGGCCCAGTGGTGAATTGAACCCTGGTCTCCAGAGTCATAATCCAACACTTAAACCACTATGCCATGCCACCCATAACAAAATTATTATTACATCTCCTGGCAGAGATTTTGCAAATTCCTATGTCTCAGCCCCAAAATGGCCAAGTTGACTGATCTTGCACAATACAAAAAACCCAAAATCTCATGATGGGCATGAGAAGAATTTTTTTTAAAAAAACAGATCCATATGTGTGTCCCAACCAAAGTGTCAGGAAAAAACACGTGCAAGCTTTGGAGATCTTCAGATCTCTGTATCAGCCAAGATGTCCCCAAACAAATAAAAATCCCACAAACAAACAAGCTGGTAGAGATCGGAACATCTTGAAATCTTTGCACGCAATTTGTCCTTTTTGGGGACTGGTCTTATAAACATATGACGACACTATGGCGTTTGGATTCCTCTATGCTCTCTCTATGGTGTCTGCAATTGTCCAAACTGTTCTATCCTCCTTTGGCTTTAAACACACACACATACACTCACACATGAGTCTAAACTTTTTGGACTCTTACTCGGAGCTCTGGAACTCATTTGTTCAGTTAAGGGGAGGGTAAACAATTAATTGCATCTTTTGTGGCTGGCAAAACCACAGCAAGAGCAGACCACCCTGGCTCTTTAGGTGAGTCCTCCTCCGCAGACATGTTGAAATCACATTATTGTGATCAGAGAGGCAATTTTGTTAAATCTCCCTAGACTGCTGCACCGCAAAGAGATCTGTTCAGGTTACTCTTTTTTTGCAAACCTCGGAAGCAGAGAAGGAGGTGGCAAAGTCAAGAGCAGCAGACTTATGGTCTTATTTCCCATTGCAAGATCACTCCTGTAACCTTTTCCATTGCTGAAACATCTTGGAAAATGTGGTTTGGGGAAATGGAGTTGGCGCGGAGGGTGGGGTGGGCAAAGTACTAAATGGATGCAATTCAACTTTATCAAGGAAGCAGCTCTGCTTCCAGAAAAACTATGAGTTTTGGAACAGTGACAGTGCATCTACACTAGGGGTCCCCAAACTATGGCCCGCAGGCCGAACCCGGCCCGTCGAGGCCTTCTTACCGGCCCAAAGAAGACAAAATGTTTTGTTTGGAAGACAAAATGGCGCCTGGCGGTGTGCGCATGTATGCGCGCACATGCGTGCGTGCGTGCGTGCGTGCCTCCAGCCCCCCGAAGATCAAAAACTGTGGGGACCCCTGATCTACACTATAGAAATAATTCCGTTTGCCACCTCTTTAACTGCCATGGCTCTGTCCTATGGAATCCTTGGATTTGTAGTTCTGAAGGCACCAGCACTCTTTGGCAGAGAAGGAGAAAGACCTTAACTACAGATCCTAGGATTCCATAGGATAGAGCCATGGCAGTTAAAGAGGTGGCAAACGGAATTATTTCTATAGTGTAGATCAGGGGTCCCCACAGTTTTTGATCTTCGGGGGGCACTTCTTGACAGTGAGAGCTGTTCGACAGTGGAACACACTCCCTCAAAGATTTTGGTGGAGTCTCCTTCTTTGGAGGTCTTTAAACAGAGGCTGGAAGGCCATCTGTCGGGGATGCTTTGATTTTGAGTTCCTGCATGGCAGGGGGGTTGGACTGGATGGCCCTTGGGGTCTCTTCCAACTCTGTGATTCTATGATTCTATGATTCTATGAAATAAAGAAGCCAAGATCCTACATCTGTGTTGCACAGCCTAAAAACCCACATGTGGATTTAAGCTTTGAGTGTGCTATGTAACCCTATGTAACATTGCACAATTGAACCAAGAAACAAATGGTAACCAAATGCAGATGCACATCCATGCACAAACAAGCTGCCTGAGCGAGATTGCTTTCCAAACCTCAACTGAATTAGGACCATGTGCATCTGGACACCTGGACAAAAATGTCCAACGGTAGGTAAATTTATGTATATGAGCACAAGAGATTTCCAGCCATAATAAAGAAAATTTTAAGATACTGGTAAAACAAGGAGAGCTTTTGAAAAAAATCAAATTGTAAGCTGGAACATGAACGCCGTGATAACCAGGGGAAAACTCACCTCCGAGGGGCCCAATCTGGTTGGTGACGGCGTAACGGAGCGCCTGCTCCTCCTCATTATACAAAGCAAACATCCGGTCCACCGTCAGCTGCTGAGTGGCGGGAGTCACCCTGTGGCGCCGTGCGTGGGGGCATTCGTGGTAGGTTAGATTCTGACGCAGCCGGTAGGACAAGGTTTGATTGATGCTTCCGAAAGCAAGTAGGGAATATTCACGGTAAGACGTAGATGTCACAACTATGGGGAAAAAAGCAAGCATTAAGGTTAGAAAAGCTACTAGATTCTCTAAAGATGGGCATCAGTCACTGTTGTCTCCCAGCAAAAAGTCTAACAACAATGACAACAATGTGGATGGTACCTTTTGCATCCACAAAACCTGCCTTTTTATTCTCACTTCCTCTCACCTCTTTTTCTGGGATTTCGAGCTATACTATTGATCTGTCACTTTTTAGGTTAGAAAATAGCTGAGCGCTGCCATGAAAATGGGACAATGAATCTGTCCAAGAATTGGAAGGGGTATCATGGGTCATCCAGTCCAACCTGCTGCTCATTGCAGGCTCTCCAGATAAAGCATCCCCAGCAGGTAGTTGTCCAACCTCTTTTGGAAGATGTCCCGAGATGGAGACCTCTCCAGGCAGTGGTTCCATTCTCAAGAAGTTTCTTCTAATGTTCAGCCAAAGTCTACCTTTCTGGAACTTCAAACCATTGGACTTAGTCCTACCCTCTGGGTAGAACCAAACCTCTGGGGCAGCCCTGGAGATATTTAAAGAGTGTGATCATGTCATACTTCAATCTCCTCTTCTCCAAGCTGAACAAGCCCAGCTCCCTCAACCGTTATTCGTATGTTCTGTTCCCATACCTCTTTTAATCCCCATTGCCCTTCTTCGAACCCACTCCAACTTGTCTCTATACTTCTTAAAAGGAAGCACCCAGAACTGAACGCAGTCCAGACCTTAAAAGAGCAGCCATCCAAGGAGATAAGCCATTATGAGAGAAAGGTGAGATAGAAATCTAATAATAAATAAATAAATAAATAATCCTCCAAATAGGTTCAACTCTTTATATAGCTTCCAATGTTGAAACTACAACCTGGAACTGACTTACAGTCCCACTGACACAGAAGCCACCAGTTACCATTGGGGTGAAATGAGCAAGTTCCAGAGACCATTTCTGCCCCCACCTGGACCTGCTAGAGGGATCACATACACACGCCAAAAAATCCCATAACCAAAAGTGAAAAGAGGTATCCTTCTGGTTTCTTAAAAATGGTTTTGGAAGGGCAAAACAAGGTGAGTTGGATCCCTCGGAGTGTGGTGGAGTCTCCTTCCTTGGAGGTCTTTAAGCAGAGGCTGGATGGCCATCTGTCGGGGATGCTTTGATTGGGAGTTCCTGCATGGCAGGGGGTTGGATTGGATGGCCCTTGTGGTCTCTTCCAACTCTATGATTCTATGATTCTATTTTAAGAGAACATCAATTAATTAAATTAAAATATTTATGGGCCATCCGAGGATCTCAGGGCAACTTACATTGGAATCCATCTAAACAATTTTAAACAATTTAAAACCATGAGAATATTTTAAAGGCTAAAAAGTACATCAAACCACTTGATTCTTAAAACAGGAAAGATCAAAAGCAGCGAAAACACTTTAAAACCACCCACATGCAATCCATCGTGCCTGAAAAGCTTTAGCAAACAGCACTGGCTGGAATTCACAACCACAGTAACCTAGAGTTATGCATTCATAAGCTGATACGTATTCACGGTTCCTATCTATTCAATAGTGCAGGAAATATGTAGGGTTTGTAAAAGTCTTCCAGTCCTGACTTAATGGGTCTCAGCTGCTGCAAGCAACGGGGTCTGTTGCAGAAGACTGACGTTCCCATTCATCTCTCTCCAGCCATCTTCAGTGCAAGGAGAAATTGCAACAGGGATCCTGCTTCTGACTGTCACACCAAAAACAGCTTGTGGGAGGGGATGGAAACATACGTCTGCTGCATCCTGATCGACAGGAGAACAAACCCTTGTTGCTTATCAGCTCCTGGCCTGTAAGACAGGATCTGAGAGTTTACATGGGGAGAAGCTACTTAGCTATGTAGCTAAGTCTCTGATCTAAAATCTCAGCCCATGTTTTTACTTAGCACTGGAATAACTGTTGCACTGCCACCGTTCAGGTCTCTGATGGGAGGGTGTTCCATATGTTGAGTGCCACAACAGAGAAGGCCATCTGCTGTCACACTCCTAAGACGTTTTGTTGTTGCAGTGGTTGAATGCTTTCAAGTCACTTCCGACTTAATGTGACCCTAAGACGAAGCTATCATGGGGTTTTCTTGGCAAGATTTGTTTAGAAGAGGCTGAGAGCGTGTGACTTGCCCAAGAGTCACCCAGTGGGTTTCATGGCTGAGCTGGGAATCGAACCCTGGTCTCCAGAGTCATAATCCAACACTCAAACCACTATGCCATGCTGAAATATAAGACTGCTTCCTAATTAAATCAGAACAGAGAGGACTAGAACCTTGTTCAGAATCCTGGTTGGCATCTTATGTGTACAGAGGTTTCCCTATGGAAACAATCCTTGGGGAAAATATGTTTGTCATAAATTATTGTTTATGTGTGCCTTCAAGTAATTTCTGACTTATGGTGACCCTAAATTGAACCTATCATAGTGTTTTCTGAGACCGAGAGAGTGTGACCTGCCCAAGGTCTCCCAGTGGGTTTCACAGCTGAGCAAGGAATTGAACCCTGGCCTCCAGAGTCATAGTCCAACATTCAAACCACTGTGCCACGCTGGCTCTCTCCTAAGAGGTTTCCAGGGATGTAATTCCCTCTCTTTAATGGAAAAGGAGGGTTGGAGCTTCTCATCTTGCCTTCCAATGTTCACCAACACTCCAGCTTCTCAGCCTGAAAGCGCTGACATTTACCTGCAGCTTTGAACAAACCCACCAACTAGCAGACCATGAATTCCTTATTTCATAAATACATTTTCATTCAAAACTGTGGTCTCCCTAGTCAGAAATTTGGGGTGCTTGGATTGCAACATGAATCAGTTCTATTCCAGGCTAATAAATTACTTGTGAAATGAGAGAAAGAAGAATTTGACACACTGTACAACAAAATCAAAATGATTCCGGCTGACAAACGATCACATACCAGACATAAGAAATAAAATCAGAAGCAATTCAGCTATAATACCTGAATCCATGTACTGGTAGATCTCCTTGTAAGGTGCAATGTCGACAGTAAAATTCTCGGGAATGTAAGGCACCCGCCCTTGAATTTCAGTCCGAACACTAAGGTAATTTTCTGCATCCAGACCATCAGCTATTTGCCTGACAAAAACAGTTTCCTCTCCTGGATAGAAAGTGGCTTCAAGACTGTGAACGAATTTAGCACCTATTTCAGAGGGGAAGAGAAAGGAGGGGAGAAATCCCACATATATTAATCCTTGCTTAAGATATTCTACCTTTAGAGGGGATATAGCAAATGGGTACCAAAATTGTAGTCCTCCAAGTTCAAGCCAGGGCTGGTATTGCCCCCAATCCCTGGAAGTCATCCACCTTTACTCTATACAAAACCAACTACAACTACCTCAATTATCCTGAAATCTGAAATCCAAAATACTCCCAAATTGTCCACATGGGTAGCTGAGATAGTGACACCTTGGCTTTCTGATGGTTCAGTGTACACAAAAACTTAGGTTTCATGCACAAAATGATTGAAAAACATATTATCTATAAAATTACCTTTGGGCTCTGTGTATAAGGTGTATATGAAACATAAATGAATTTCACAGTTAGATTTGGGTCCCATCTCCGTGATATCTAATGTTGTTGTTGTTGTGTGCCTTCAAGCCGTTTCTAACTTATAGCAATCCTAAGACTTAGTGGCAGCAGAGTTTTCTGGGGCTGAGAGTGTGTGACTTGTCCAAGGTCACTCAGTGGGTTTCCATGGCCAAGCAGGGAATCAAACTCTGATCTCCAGAGTCCTAGTCCAATGCTCAAACCACTACACCATGCTGGCTCTCAGGTTTTGTCTACTACTGCTAATAATCCTCTGCAAAGAAATGAGTAAGGCCATCTATGCAGATTTGTTTGCAGTGGGCCTAATCCTACTATTGGGTCCAACCAGAGTCAATGCATTGAGTTTGTTTCCTATGTCTTGACCCATCATCATTCAACAATCGTTTCAATGGGTATGCTTGGCTGGGGGGACAAAGCCAGAGGATTTGGGCCATTATATCCATGTTGTTATTGTTGCGTGCCTTCAAGTCATTTCTGACTTACGGTGATCCTAATGGGGTTTTCTTGGCAAGTTTCTTCAGAGGCTGAGAGCGTATGATTTGCCCAAGTTCAACTAATGGGCTTCCATGGCCAAACAGGGATTTGAACCCTAATCTCCAGAGTCATAATCCAATGCTCAAACCACCACAGTAGTCAGAATTCAATTCTTCTTGGACACAGTAACATAATATGAGCACGTGCATTTGTGCACCTATGGAAACCATGCACTCTTTCTACTCACCAGCGATACTGAAGCCGTTTTCATAGCCAGGTTTCTCCAGAGCAAAAAGCCAACCAAAGAAACCACCGAGGGGAGCCAGTGGGATCAGGGATCGAGCGGCTGGCTGAGGGATGTGGCTGATGGCCGTGTACGCTCGCCCATCGTTGCCAACAATGTAGGCGTGCAAGTCAACATCCCCAAAGCGCACGGGTGTCCGTCCCACCAGCAGGTCTCCGCTGACTTTGCCATTGAGACGATGAACAGCCCCTGAAATGGCAAGATCCATCATCACTTAAGTGAGGTCTATGACAACAATGCCAGGTGTCAAGAGATTTCCCAAAATGTGGGTGACTGGATCCTTTTGTACAAAGACATGTACACCGAAACATTTCAAGTCTCCAGCCAGGTTGAAAAAGCTAACTAGCAGACAAGTCTCCCTTGTGCACCTAAATGGAGCACAATGGTGGTGAGCATCGGGACAAAGCATGTGAGTAGTGGATCCACCGCTTGCAAGGGTCAAAGCCCTGGGATTTTCTGATGTGTAGAGAGTATGAAATTGTCTGTCCCTACCCATCCATCCTTCCAGTGAAGCCTTTGGGACTTAAGTCACACCGTTTTATCCTTTCAGCTTTTTAAAGCTCTTTTTAAATTAGATTACGGAATGGCCTGCCGGATGAGATCCATCACATTAAAGAAGTTGTTAAGATGGATCTCTTCCGACAGGCCTTTCCTGAGTAAACAATCGCCACCCAAAAAGTTGTGCCTGTTACCCCCCTGACTTCTGTTACAGCTATTTTAATTTATTTGTTACTTGTTGTTTATTTGTTATTTTAAAGTAAGTTTTAAACTATGGCTGTTTAATTGTATTTTAGTGGTGGGTGGGTTGTGGGGAGAAGGGATTGTATGTTTTAGCATGTAAGCTGCCCCAGTTGTGTTACACAGAGAGGCGGGATACAAATAAATTTTATCATTATTGTGAAGTTGAAGACTTCCATGGCTGGAAAGAAACTCTTCTAGAACATGGCCACATAGCCCAAAAAAAATCACATTTTTTAAAATTATTATTACTCTTATTATTTTCACTTGCTTGAATTGTTTTACACTTTCTATCTGGTTTAAATTATTTACTGCAGGGGTCGGCAACCTACGACCTGTGGGCCGCAACCAGCCCGCCAACCCCTGCCAACTGGCCCACGACGACAACCCGCATGCCACCATACGCATTGCGGCCACCATTTTGGCAAACAAAATGGCGGCGGGAGAGCGCGGGGCGGTGGTGGCGGTCTGCAGGGGCCATGCACACACGTGTGAGTGCGCGCGCCGCCATTCCCCCCCCCCCTCGGCGAAAGACCTGGGGACCAGCAACCGGCCCCAGGTACGTAAACCTTGCCAACCCCTGATTTACTGTATTGATTGTGGCTTGGAACTGCTTAAATTGTTTGGTATGCACTGGGATTGGTTCCAGGACCCCCCGTGGATACCCAAATCTGTGGATACTCAAGTCCCATTAAATACAACGGCATAGTAAAAT